TTTAATCCGATGATGTGCACTTGCCTATTCAGCACTGGCCACTCTTAAGGTCAGAAATGGTGGCCATTTTATTGTGGAGGTACCTAATCGGCAGCCACCATTGCCTCCTATGAAGAGATGGGCAGTTACAACCATGCCTTTTTCAAGATTCAAATTTAGGCTCTTTGGTACCATAATAGGCTCCCCTAACTACTACACCATCTGGGCAACATTTCTCAGAAAATAAAAAATGCACAGGTTTTAGAAATGTCAGTTCTCATCTGGTTTTGCTCTGGCATATCACCTCGAAGATTTTAAATGCAATATAAACTCATATGTTGTTTTTCAATTAGATTAGAAAATACATTAGAGCGAGCTATTATCAGCCTTAAATAGTTTCATTACGCTTCAGTGAATGTTGGAAATTAAGAACTGTTGAAGTTATACAGTAAAATGGTATCACACTATGAAGAAAACTATTCATGTATTTTCATATTCAATATGATATATATAAACATTTTACATGTAGAAAATTTTCTGCAAAACAACTACATGCTTTTATTTTTTTTTAAAGCTGCATACAATTTTGAATCTAAGAACACTAACATACAAAACAAATTCTTAAATAAACAATAACAACCATAATTGTACTGTAGTAACCAAAAGTAATCTTTTGGGGTTATGGGAAGAATTTATTATCAAAACAGAAGATAAATATGTCAAAATGCAACATAAAATTAGCAAAGGAACAACCTTGTGTTTGGCACATTTCTTTAAAAACTTAACTGTTCTGAGGACACAGGTCCCTCTGCTTCAGGTGCAAAGAAATCTGCAAGACTAATTTGGCAGTTATGCCATATATCAATATTTTATTGGATTGTCTATATTTTAGGGTATACCCCTTAGATTATCAGCAAGTTGTTTTATTTATAGTAACCTGAGTAGTTGAATGTTATGGAAACCCTATTATGACATGATTGGTTGCGTGATTGCGGTGAATTTGACTGATGGGAAAATATTTGTAAGGGCTTATTTCTGCACTAGATGTCAGTTAGGAAGTAAGTTGCTTATTTTTTGCCGTACACCATAAAATGGCTACATGTGACAAGATTAGAAATTTCTGTATGATTTAGAACAAAAGGGGAAAAAACATTAATTGACCTGGTGTGTAAATGAAAGTTTACTTAGTAGTAATTATAACTGTTCTTTTTGTATGAAGGAAATGTGTATGGTCGAACATAAAGATAGTTCAGATGGTTTGTTGCAAGAAAGGTTCATGCAAGAAATGCCACCGACAGTCCGGCACTATAAAGGACATTTTCAACTCTTATTTTTGTGAATTTATGTGGTGACGGTAATATGCAAATTCTAGTTCAGATAACTTTAGAATGTTTTTGGATACTGTTATAGAATTTTGTGTGCCACAGAAATTTCTAAATATGGCAAGCTGATATTTCCTTTTTGTAGTGCATATATGCGATCACATATATTTCCTTTTTCATGTTATTTCATTCTGTGGTTTAAAATGCAGCTTATTGAGCATTGATTCGCTATAAATTTTGTTCAATTTTGGTAATGAGTAACTTTGTCTTAACTTTATACGATGTCATTATTCTAATGATTTTTTTTAAAGTGAAAATAGATCGATGTGTACATGGACAAAGTCAAGGGAGTGTGTAATGCCAACTTTGTGCAATTCTCTTATGTTTTTTAAGTGAAAATAGATCGATGTGTACATGGACACCAAGTTTGTGCAATTCTTTGACTTGTTGTTTTGATTTTGTGTAGCAGCCATCTAGAAATTGTGCCTTGCTGGCCAATTTTCAATTTTCCCCAAGGGGCACACTGAAATATATTTTCACCATTTTATTTTTAAGAATAAGGCAAATAAAATGCCAAGAATAAAAACACTGTGCTAGAATTAGTGACACTTGGATTCTGAGCACTTCAAAATTGTGATTTCCATTAAATTTTATCAGTTACAAAACTAAATGAATTGCAAATAACAGAAAAGATCAGCCAAAGATCCTAATATCGCTAAGTTGTTTCATTTATGATAACCTGAGTAGTTGAATGCTATGGAAACCCTATTATTATGTAATTGGTTACATGATTGCAGTGAATGAATGATGGGATGGATTTTGGTACATTGTTATTTTGTGGTTCATGCTGTAAAATGGCTGAATGTTGTAAGATTAATTTGAGTTTCTATACAATTTGAAACGAAAGGGAAAAAAGCATTAATTGACTGGTGTGTGAATGAAGGTTTACTTGGTAGCCATTATAAGTGTCCCGTTTGTAGAAAGGAAATGCATATGGTCGAAATGCCGGAGGATACTGGCACTATGGAGGATATTTTTTACTCTTATTTTTGCAAATTTATGTGGTGATGCCACTATACAGATTATAGTTCACATAATTTTAGAAGATTTTGGATGCTGTTAAGGAATTTTCTTTGAGGGAAAACATGTAAATTCATAAATAAGTGGATATTTCCTTTGTGTAGTACCAAGATGAATTATCTTTTTTTATGTTATTTCATTGTTTCATTTAAAATGTAGTTTATTAAGATTATATATTTTTTGTTACCTGTTCCTTTCACTTAAGTAAATATAGATCGCTGTGTACATGGACAAAGTCAAGGGAGTGCGCAATGCCTAGTTTATGCACGTCTTTGACTTGTTACTTTGGATTTGTGTAGAGGCAATCTTTGGAGCAAAAATCACTGCTACACAAAGCCAAAATAACACGTCAAAGAATTTCACAAGCTCGGTATCCATGTATGGTCTAAAGCCACCAATTATCGCCAAGAGGCACGCATAAATATAATTTTACCCAAATATTTTTTTAGATAATATGAGCGACTATTTTGGTACAAGACTTAAGAAAATGCTAATACAGTAATTATAAAACATATGTACAAAATTCGTGCAAAAGGAACATATGCCATTGTAAAAGAGGGGAGTTCTGACATCCATAAGGGCAATAAATACCTATAGTGCCATCTCACATGCACATGTGTCACACACACACTACACACTATACGATATTTAAAGATACCCATCATTGTGTTGTGAGCCAGTGAAAGAGTATGGAGTTCACAGTAACAAAACACATATTCATTGTAATTACTCAGTGACAAGTAAGCTCGTCCAGCTTCATCTTTAACAATATAAAACAATCTTGATATTCATAGCAAACACTGGTGCATGTGTTAGCACCAAGGTTGTGGAGTTAGTAGGGAAGATGACCAACTCCGACTCCTGGAATTTTAAAGAGTCCGACTCTGACTTCTTCATATATATATATGTAAACATATATAAACGGGTTAAAGCTTATTTTTTTAATATAAAAGAAATAATAGATGCTACAGAAAAAAAAAAAAAAAAAAAAAAAAAAAATGATGGCATAGTAAATTATTTATATTAATTAGCATTTATTATGAAACGGAAAACTGGCATTAGTTATTTCTAAGAAACAGTAAATTTGGCTTTGGCAAGATCTTTGTTGGAGGGCCATAGATCAGATTTGATAAACTTCAGTGCTGAGAATTTTCCACACTAACTTGAATAGGAGGAAGAGCTGTTACTGATAGGGCTATTTCTTTTAACTTTTCAGGATAGATTTTTAGAAGTTCTAAAAGAGGTGTCTTACAAGTGCAATAATATTTCTCTATTTCTTCAAAGGCCATGTAGAAATCTTGTTTGTATTTTTACATCTAAAAGCTCTTGGTTCTTTATTTTCATTCACTTTGCCTTAGCTTTTTCAATATTATCCAAAAATATTTCTCAAATTCTAATTCATCACTGGAAGAGGATGATAGTGACTCAATTGCAATGTCTGCAGTTTGACTATCCTGATTCGAATTCTTTAATTGTTCTGAGAATAATTTCATTCTTAATGAAAGTTCATAGATGGCTCCCTTTGCCTTTTTAATTTGTTCCTCATCCAAGAAAATTCAGTACTTCGGATCTACATTTATTGAAACCAGCATGATCTCATTGTATAGCAAACTAGTTTCTCTTTTATTCATTGGAAAAATGATTCCTTCTGCAGTAAACCCTTTATTTTAGAAAGAACAAACATCCCATTCTTCCGTTCTCACCTCCTATCAGTTCTTCAGATTGCAGCTTTTTTGTGGCTATATACAGTATAGAAAGAAGAGTTTCCAATTCTGCAAGATCATTCCGCAGTCTTTCTGTTAGTGAAACATTAGGGTTATTTACATCTTCAAAAAAGTTCTTAATTCTAACAACTTCTATATCACCACTTTGCTTCATCTATAATTGCTCCTTTCCCTGCTTGCTTCCTAAGAATGGCATCAAATTTGGGAGTTCTTGCTGCTGTTGCCGCTTACCTAAATTTACCAGCGAGATTTGGAACTAAATGAATCAATTTAATCACTAATGGCAAATATCACATTCATTCTCCTCCCTTATATTTATTTGTTAATATGTCAATAAAATAGAAAATAACCATTTATTACTGTATATAGTTCATAAATAAAAATAATAACTCAGCTTGTCATTAATTGTTTTCAATTCATTTAAATTTAATTTCAGATTCAAACTGTCCAACAAAAACTGGAGTCGACCTGTTTTTAGCGACTCCACCTCTGACTCCTTTTATCCCCAAATCTGGCCAACTCCGATTCTGACTCCACAGCCCTGGTTAGCACCCCATAAATTATGCAGACAAAGTGTTAGTTTATATCACAAAGTATTAACAAAGTATACACTGCTTTGCTAACATTATTCGAAAGTTGCCCTTTGAAAATTAACACGTAAAAATCGTACACTATACACTACTTTGCTAACATTATTCGAAAGTTGCGTTTTGAAAATTAACACGAAAAACATACACATTAACTGCCAGTGAAATGATAGCTCAGAAAGATCACGTTGAGCATAAATCAGTGCTCTGAAAATATATTATACAGTATTTCAAGTATGCAACAAAAAAAGAAAGATAAATTAGAAAATTAAGGTTTAATTACAAAATATATGCAAATATATGCTTACAGCTTCCCATAAATTATGTTGGCTTAGGTGAGATATAACTTTAGATAAAGTTTTTGCATCTGGTTTTATTTCACGTTTAGTTCCAAATATTTGTCGATGAAGGTCATAAGAAAGCATTTGTATATTTATTGCATTAAATCTTGAATGCTTTTCTTCATTAGTCTTATTTAGCTGACAACTCCTGTGAGAGAACCTTAGAATACTATAATTAACCGGAATTATATTTCTCAAAGCCATTTCCTTTCAATTTATATAAGAATTCGAGAACATCAATGCACAAATTTTGCTGCTTATAATACATAAAAATGCAGCTACAGCAAAAAAAAAAAAAAAAGTCAGAGGTTTGGATTTTTAGAATCCATCAAGTTCCTTTTTTTTTTTTTTTTTTTTTTTGTCCTTTATGGAAGAAAAAAGCTCAATTTTACACAAACATTGTAGCAATAAACATTTTTACATTTATAAACTTAGCGCGCGGAAACTGAAATAATAAATAAGTATCCTCTTAAACACAGTCTTTCTGCCCTAAGACAAATCATCGGTTTCCTCTAAAAAAATAACCAATGGGATAGAAGACGACGCTCATGCGCTAGGGTTGAATGGAACTGCAAGTTTCCGACCGGTGCTATATTCCTCGATATCGCTAAAGCTTTTGACATGGTATGGTATCGAGGCCTTATTTACAAACTAATCACTCTCAACTTTCCAGATCATTTTATTCGCTTAATAGCCTTTTTTCTCAGCAACAGAACATTCAGAATCAAAATCGGTACTGCTTACTCTACCACCAGAGTAATCAATGCTGGCGCCTTACAGGGGTCGGCACTTTCGCCGTACCTTTTTAATTTTTATATACACAAGACATCCCTAAAGACCCTTCTGTTCTTCTTGCACTCTTTGCCGATGACACCTCCATGCTTACTAGAGCCTGCACAGTTATCGCCGTAAGAAACCAACTCCAAAACTATCTCATAAAACTGGAAAAATGGCTCACCCTTTGGAGGATTAAAATTAACACTGATAAAACTAAGATAATAATTTTCCGTAAAGGAAACATGAAATACTATCCTCCACCCTCTGAAATATTTGACGAAGAAATAGACTGGATTAATGAAACCAAATACCTTGGAGTTACCCTTGACCAAAGCTTACCTTCAGAACCCACTTCCGGTCCGTAGTACAAAAATTTAAAATCACCACAGCTACTGTGCGACCTCTTCTTGGTAGAAAAAGCAACTTATCTACTACAAAACAATTAATTCTATATCGCTCCATACTTCGCCCAGCCCTCCTTTATGCAGCACCGATCTGGGGACATGCAGGTAAAACCAATATTAAACAGTTACAAATTCTACAAAATGAAATTCTACGAGAAATTATCAAAGCTCCTTGGTATATTCCAAACATCTATATTCACAGAGACCTTCGAATCGAACTTATTCAAGAGTATATTAAACGATTAGCGGTCAACTTCTTTTATTCAGTACAAACCCACAGTAATAGCCTTATTAGCACTCTCAGACACTCCCCGCATCCCAGAGAAAAACATCGGTACCCATGTGACATCCTATCCACATAAGAATTACAACCTTAATTGACTCATTCACGCTAAACTGACTCTGCGGTTTATCACCTGCGGCTACATCTTATACGACACTAAACTTGCCACCCCCCTTTTTTTTCGCCGCCGCTAGTGCGGACCTCAATCTCTTTTTTCCGCCTCCCACAATACCGTGTAGCTAGAGGGGGGCAAGGGGGGCATCTGTCCCCGCCAAGGGGTTTCAGAATCCAAGGGGCGCCAAATTCATGTTACGACATTTTGGAATTAAATGTTTTCCATCCTTGGCAAGCAGTAGGGGGAGCAAAAATCTTCAGTTGTCCCTGGGCGCTGAAAACCCTAGCTACGACTCTGCACAATTCCTTCCACCTTACTCTTTCTCCTCCCACCCGATCATTATCAGAAGTCGAGTAAAAAGATGTTTCTACATCTTGACACTCGAGAATAAAATACGATCTGTGTGTGGGTTGAATGGACCTCGGCACCGAGGTCCGACTCATTATAAAATTTATAATTATTCACAGATTCGAGTGACGTATGTCCAAAATTTTAAATTTAAAAATTAGTTCACTAGCGTAGTAAACTGAAAATTGAAGCCAATGTAATTTCTGTAAGTAAGCAATACGGTTCTGGGCAATTTGCTTGTACTTGCGTCCGATGTAATTAGGTACGTAGTATTAGAGCTGATAATTTGTGTTTTAATCATCTTATTTTAGCCATGTCTTCGACTAGGTAGTCTTAAAAGATGATAATACTCATAATCGGGGATTCTATGATTATTCACAGGTTATTAAATATTTAAAAGAATATTTGTCTGCGAATTTACCTGATTATGAATTTGATTTTTGTTGCTTTCCAGGGGCTAATATTGTAAAGTTGACACGTGAGGTTACCTTTATGAACACTAATTTTCATTTAGTTTTGGTCCACGCTGTAAAGATTTGAAAAAGGTGAATCAGAGGCCGATGATAATTAAGTAGAGGCTTTATTAAATGATGGAATTTCATGCACATGGAACAGCACGTTTCTACATATCAAACCATGACCAAGAACACTACAACTGTTGCCAGATCAACCTAAGCAAAAGTATAAAACAGTTATGGTTAAAATACATGACATTAAATCAGAAACGGGGAGTACATGTGATTATTCTCAACACCCTCCCTTAATCACATATTATTTTAAATTTATCTCTTAAATACCATAATCTTGGTTTAGGCAAGCATTTTGTAAACAAATCAGCTAACTGATTTTCACTAGAAACATATACAAGATTTATATCATACAATTTTACAATATCCCTAATATACTTTAATTTAATGTTCCAAATGTTTTAGTCTAGCACAATTACTTTCATTTAATATTGCTTTAATTACAGACTGATTATCCTCATAAACTGAAACTTTAATATTGTCGACTCCTAAAATTTCTTTAGATACATTATAAAATACAGTTAGGTTCTTGAATAGCTTTTGCTGAAAGCCAAAATTTCTGTCCTCAGTAGAGGACAGAGCAATAGATGTTTGCTTTTTAACAGACCAAGTTACAGGACAATCATTAAAGAAAATAATATACCCAGAAATAGATTTTCTATCATTTGTATCTGACCCCCAATCAGGCATCAACATAAACATTTAAGACATAATATCAACACTATTAGATTTACAAAATAATAATTTGAGTTCAGATGTCCCTTTTAAATATCGAAAAATTTGCTTCAGACCAGCCCAAGCACTGTTAGTGGGTTGTTCTTGTATCTGACTCAGACAGTTCACAGAAAACAGAATATCAGGACGAGTTGTCATAGATAGATACAGCAAAGCACCTACAAGTTCACGATAAGGGCCATGAAATTTTTCACCATTCGCAAAATTTGATGAAGTTGACTTTGCACTAGAGGAGTATCAGATGGCTTACAATCTAACATTCTAAATCTATTTAACAATTTTTCAACATAAGACCTTTGGCCTAAAGTAAGTTTGTTCTGTGAATATTCAAAACTTATTCCAAGAAATTCATTTGCAACTTCAGCCTTGGACAACTCAAATTCATTTCTAAGTAGTTCAATCACAATTTTTACCTCTGAATCATTAGAACCAGCAATTAGCAAGTCATCCACATACAGCCCAATAAATATTTCACTCTGTTTAGTTCTTCTTACAAAAGTACATGCTTCACAGTTAGTGTTGAAGTTGTTGAAAGAACAGTTGTTGAACAGAATTATAAAATCAGTAAATCTCTTGAACCACTGCCTCGGTGCTTGCTTAAGTCCATAAAAGACTCTTAAGAAGCTTGCACACATGACCACTGTTGTCACTGTAGCCCATTGGTTGTTCCATGTAGATTGTTTCTTGGAGATCACCATTCAGAAATGCAGTCTTTACATCTAATGCATAGATTTCAAGATTCTTTTGAACAATGATAGCCAGCACAAGTCGAAGTGATGATGTACTAATTTACAGGAGCATAGGTCTCAAAGTAATCAATACCTGGCTTCTGTTCAAAGCCACGAGCAACCAATCTAGCTTTGTAAACATTGTTTCGTTTGATGCGCAACACCCATTTACAGGATATTGGCTTTTCATCCTTTGGCAAGTTGACTGACTCCCCCACTTTATTTTTATTAAGAGAAGCTATTTCCTCATCCATGGCTTTCCTCCATAGGACTTCTGTTGGCAATGATGTTATATCCTCATATGTTACTGTATCAAGAGTTGCCACATTAGCTTCATACACAAAGTAATCATTCAACTTTACAGGTAATTTTATATTTCTTCTTTGCCTAGTAATTTCTTCATGACTTTCTTCAAGATTTCTGGATTCTACATCACTTGAATCATATACTACTTTATCTTTAGCAGGATCTTTACTTTCTATGGAAAAATCATCTTGAACTGAGATACATTTCTTTTTCTCTTCATTTAAACAATACATTTCGAGAAACCACAACATGATTTGTGACTGGGTCCAGTAAACGATAACCCATGGTAGAGTATCCAATAAAAATCATCTTTTTTGATTTTGGATCCAATTTATTTCTTTCTTAAGTTATCAGGAACTCTCATGTATGCATCAGATCCAAACACCTTAATAATATTCAAATCAGGCGGCTTCCCATATTTGAGCTCATAAGGTACATTTTCAACAGTCTGATTTGGAATTCTATTCTTAAGATATGCAGCTGTCTGTACAGCATAACCCCAGAAAGGATTTAGAAAGCTTTGCTTCACATATTAGAGCTCGGGCCTTCTCTAAAAGATATCTGTTGGCTCTCTCAGCCACACCATTCAAAGGAGGTGAATATGGAGGAGCAGGATCTATCATAACACCATTTTTCTTGCAATAACGAGCTAGTTCACCAGACACGTATTCATTGGCCTTGGCATTATCACACACGAATTTTGTAGACATCAGGATTCTGCTTTAGGAACAATTTAAACACTTCATTTATGTCACTTTGTGCTTTAAGAGATGCACTTCAGTAAATCTAGAAAAATCGTCTATGATTGTAGCAAAATACTTTTCACCTTCCCTAGTAGGGTGGATCAATGGGACCACATATGTCAGTGTGTACCATTCTCATCGGCACATGCTCTCTGCTTCTAGGACCTTTTGTTCATAGGAGTGTTGGAATGTTTTGCTAGTACACACTCTTCACAAAAGCTTGAAGGTGATTCAGATACTGGCAAACCCATTTCTTTTAATATTTTATCAGATGAGTGCCCCATGCGACTGTGCCATAATTCTGCACTATGATTTGCAATGTATGTTGAAGCTTTAACAGGTTCAAATTGACTCACATACTGTCCTTTCTCATTGAGTTTAGCAAACTCAAATTTTTCATTCCTCTTTTCAATAACAGCTACATCATTCTTAAAAATTACACTGTAACCTGCTTTTTGAATATTCTTCACAGAT